ATTCTGTGCTGCCAGAGTAATCATTCATCATTACAGGCAGTGAGGAGATAAATGTCCTCATGAATCACGTCTGTGCCTTGGGTTCTTTGCTTAGGTTAGAAGCCTGTGTCTCAGCCCACTCAGGCTTCCATGACAGGACACCGCAGACTGGGGGCTTAAAACACAGACATTTATTTCTCAGTCTGGAGGCTGAGAGCCCGAGATCAAGGTGCTGGCAGATGCGGTTCCTGGTGGGAGCCCTGTTCCTGGCTTGCAGACGGCTGCCTTTTCCTGTGTCCCCACGTGGCAGAGAGAGGGAGAGAGCCGGCCCTCTAGCGTCTCTCCTGATAAGAGCACTGATGCTGTCGCGGGGGCCCCTCCTCATGACCTCGTCTAGCCCTCGTCACCTCCCAAAGGCCCCACCTCCTAATATCATCACACTGTGAATCTGGGTAGGGGGGTGCACAGTTCAGTCCAGAGCAGCCTAGAAGATTTGTAGAGCTTTGCTAATGTTCTGGATTCTGTGGTACCACGGCTCTTGCAGCTCTGCCCACAGGGGCTGCTCCGCAGGCTCTCTCACTAGGCTCTCAGGATACTCACTTGGGACAGTGAGGCTTGGAGTGGCCCTGGCTGAGGTGACACTAAAGGAAATGGGACCCAGATCCAGACTCAAGGCTGGGGGCTCTTCTCAGAGCTCGTGCTGCCTTCCTGTGGGGACTGAGCTGGGGCTCCGCTGCCGGCCACCTCCTACCTCCGTCCTGTCACGTGATCCCTGTGTCCACAGCTCTGCACCCCCAGAGTCCCTCAGAGCAGGCCCAGGTTAGGAGCTGCCACACTTGGTGTGGTGAGCAAGGTGGGATCTCGAGCTCCAAGCTTTCCTTTCAGAGGCAACAAACATCTCCCACAGCCCCTCCTGAAGCATAGCTGGGACCCCACATTCCAGAACCCCCAGAGTGTTAGTTAGAAGTGGGGATCCAGAGCCACCTCCTGTCCCATCAGACCCAGGACCTGCAGTTGTGAAATGCGCTCCACCTGCCCCCAGCCTGGGTCCTCCGTCAGTCTTCTGGCCACACGCCTTTCTGTCCCCAGATCTCATGAACCTCGTGTCTGGGCTGCTACAGCCTGTCCCCGAGCAGCGCACCACCTTGGAGAAGCTGGTGACAGACCCCTGGGTGACACAGCCTGTGAACCTGGCTGACTACACCTGGGAAGAGGTGTGTCGACTAAACAAGCCAGGTGAGAGGCGAGGCCCGTGCCCCTCGGGGCTGAGGCGGTTCCCAGGCTGCTTCCCGGGTCTTGGGGGAGGGCGAGGTTCCTTCCTCTGTGCTGCCCTGGACATGAACGTCAGGGCCCAGAGCTGGCTTGTCGCCTGTGAGACAGACTCCAGAGGTCCCTGAACACCACCAGGGGCTTTGGAAGGTGGGTGCGTGCTCACGGGAGCCCCTGACAAGGAGGAACCCGCAGACGGGATTGAGGGCTGCGGCAGAGAGTTTGCGAAGTGTAGCTGGCAGTGGTCTGAGCGGGCTGAAAGGGAGGATAAGGCCCAGACGAGGAGTGCGATGGTCTGGGGGACCCCGGGGGCCCACAGCTGGGAGCGGCAGCCCCGTGTGTCTGGTCCCCGCTGCTCAGAGTGGGCAGACATTGTCTGTGGCTCTGGACGTAGAATCCCCACGGCACCACAGCAGGGTCCAGGGAGTCTAGAACATTGCCAGTTGGGTTCTGAAGGGTTCCCCTGATGTCTTTTGCTCCTAAGAATTTCTCCAAAGAGAAGCAAAGTATTTTAGAATCTTGCTGTTGGCAGTTGACACAGTATCTTTTTCTTTCTTTAGAGAGCGGAGTTCTGTCCACGGGCAGTCTGGAGCTGGAGGGCGGGAGCCCAGCTGCAGTGGCTCGGGCCCCGGAGCCGCGCAGGGCTTCATGTGCGCGGCCAGGCCCCTAACCGCCGGGAAACCCAGCTGTCTGCCGCTCTCCTTCACTCAGGAAGTCATGGTACATTCAGGCCCCTTCCATTCAGAGGAAGTAAGTTCTCAAGAATTAGGCCCAGTGCACCGTCTAAAACCTCATATGCAAGTTTGATAAATGTTAGAACAAAAGCCAGGGATACTATTATTGTTTTAGGGTTATAAAATAGACTTGGAATTCATTTTTTTTCATGGCCTTGAAAAAACATTCTAGTGTTCAATTGAGTTTTGTACTATTTTTTACTGTTAAAAGGCTTCTAATTTGTGAAATTCCAAAAGGCACACAAAAGGTTCTTAACCCTCTTTCTACTTTTGTATATGTGCCTGTGTTTCTGCTTCTTGACTTGGTATATGCTCCTCTGATATGCGGAATGTGTAAACCTGTTCACCAAATGACCAGACTGTTTCATTAATTTATTTCCTTGAACGTTTTCCAAATTAAAGCGACCTTGTTAGTGAGCAATTACCTTGTTAGTGAGCAATTTCCCTGACTTGGGCCGTGTGGATTCTTCTGCAGTGCTGCTATAGGAAGTGCTTCATCTCTTTTATTTTTCCGTTTGTGCATCTCCACTTGCCACAGCTGGAGAGAGGTTCAGCCTTGGTCAGTTTGGGGGTCCCTCCTATGGGTGAACCCAGGGCTCTGCAGCTTGCTTGGTCTAAGGAGACTAGAGAGTGTGGTGTTTCAGGCATTGCCCTTCTCCTTGTGCACAAGCTCACCAGGGCCGGCCCACCATCTGTGTGTGCTCTGCTGTCCACCCACAACACCCTCCCAGCACTCCCCAGCCAGTCCAGGCTCCCTCCGTGACTATGTGGGGGGTGTTCAGCCCCGACTGTCCCTCTCCCATCCCCGTTCTGGCCCCAGTGCAGCTCTCACACACTCAGAAGACCCTTCCCCTTTAGGCTCCAGTCCATCCCCCTCTAAAACAGAGTCAGCTAGCTCAGGCACAGGAAATCCAGCCTCTATTTTGCATCTGTGTTAGAGGGGAGGGAGTGGTTGGTGTCAGAGAGAAACCTTTCATTTTTCCCCTGCTCAAATAGCAGGAAGAAACCAAAACCAAGACCCCCCCCCCGCCCCCCGCTACCCCAACCCATGCCTTTTTCCCATGTTATCACTCCGCAGGTGCCAAGGCTCCTGCCTGGAGCTCTTGGGAAGATGCTCAGGGGCCAGCCTGCCTCTAGTATGATCCTGTGTTCGGTTTCTAGTGTTCATTTAGGAAGCATGCAGCTGTCGTGATATCTTCGGATGCTCCGATTACACTTAATTTGATTCTCAACTACTGGGATGCAGGATATTGCCTTCCCCTTCCTTTAGGAAGTGCTGCCCGAGTCTCCGTGACGTCTCAAGAGACTGACGAGGGACCTTTCTCCATCCGTCAGGGACAGTAAAGGCAGGGCTTTTAGAAATGAATTTTTAAAGTGTGTAGTACATTAATGACATTCACTCTTCAGAATCAAATGAGTCTCGTGATGTTCAAAGAACTCTTCAAGAGTGGGGGAAAAAACCACAAATGTTTTCCTATGTAGTTTTTATGATGCTTGTAACACAAAAGAAGTTACAGAATGTTTTTACAGACAGGTGTGCAATGGGCCGAGAATGCAGAGTTCTAGGTCTCCAAGAACTGTTACTTCTCTATAAGAAAAAATAATTAAAACTCATCTGATTTGATGGCAGCAGAAAGTCTGAACACTCTGAGAGTGCTCTCTGCAGAAAGAGTCCAGATAGAAAAGTTTACAGCCTCCCTCTTCTTTGGCATAATCTTTCTGTAGAAAGATTTTTAGCATCCAGTCTGGTGCCTGGCCCAGAGCTCTATAAATTGTATCCATGCAAGAATCAAGTCCTTTTTCTCAGTTCGGAAACAAGTAGATAAAACAAGAAGAAATACTTATACACTAAGGCTTGGGCTTACAATTGGTGGAATTTAGGCAGCTGAGAAAGCACACCTTTTTTTTCTTTTTCACCACTATCCCCTTTTGAAAGATGGTTAGTCTCTGTACTTGAACTGTTACAGGCCTATGTCCGAAATTTAAGAATGAATGCAAATTAGGCTGAAACATCACTGGATTTCATTCCAAGAGGAAACCAGACCTCTAAGCTGGGAGGACCCCCACCCCACCCCCGCTTTTTTAAAAAACTGTAAAGACTTCTGGAGTTCCATTGGATACTTTAAACCTCTAGAATATGTGTGTGTGTGTGTGTGTGTGTGTGTGTGTGTGTGTGTGTGTGTGTGTTTATCAAGAATTATAATTGGAGCTCACAAGAAGTAAGGGTGCTTGTCAAATAAGGATTGGTTGGGGTCTGAAATGGTTGCACGGTTATAAGGAGAGACCTTGAGACCAGAAGGTTGCAGCTGGCAGGTGCTGTTCTGAATAGGCTGGGGGTGTCCCTGGGTCTGGAACAGTTCAAAGCTCACGTTCTCAGCGGTGCAGAGCGTGGCTGAGACCAGGTCCTCCATGGCCGCCAGACTCCATTTTGCATGCCTGAACCGATCGCTCCACTACCATTTCAACTTGCCACTAATATTCATATTGAATGCAGATTCCACACCAAATAACTTTATCTAGGACCGGCTCCCTTTTACTCAGACCGCTCGGTCTCTACCTCAACGTGAACCTGCTTTGGCAAGGACCCTGCTTTCTCCGGGGAGGTTACTGCTGGACCGCGGGGCGGTGGCCGGTTTGAGCGAGGTTATCGTTTCCTCTTACCTCCACTCTTAAGAGGAATTTTAAGGTAATGAGAAGCGAACGTATGGGGAAGGAGCTGTTCATTTCTTGCGCTAGCCGAGAGCTCTAGAAAGCGGAAACCCAAGTAGCGTAGGCACCAAGCAGAGAAACCGCGGTCTCCGCGCCCACGGTGCCGGCTGGCGGCAAGCGGCGGGCGGCGCCAGGCCCCAGAAACCGGCCCGGCGCCGAACACCTGCGGACAAGGGCTGGGCGGAACTGCTTCCCGCGCCTTCGCGCTGACGAGGGGGAGGGCGGAAGCGACGGACCCGGAGGGCGGAAGCGGCGGATCCAGGAGACGGCTGCTTCCGGCGTCAGCGGCGCTACTGCTACCTTTGCGCTATGGCTGCCTTGGGTCGGCAGGTGAGGGGGAACCGCGAGCAGGGGCTCCTGGCGGGTCGTAGAGGCCGGCGCACGCCGACCTGGTGCCGCACCCTGATCTGCGGTGCTCTCCGCTCCGCCAGTGCGGCTTTATCCCACTTTCTCCCCGCCGGCGCTGGGCCGACCCCGCGAGTGGACCCCAGACAGGGCGAGAGCGGGAGGCGGGAGCAGCGAGCGGGTGGACTTGACTGGCTGGCGGGGTCGCGGCGGCCGAGGGCGCTGCGGAGGCTTTGGGACGGGCCGTGAAGGGCGGTTGAGTGCCTGGGGATGTGGGCCTCGTTCGTTACGCGCCAACCTGAACCCTGGAGAGTTCTGAAGTCAACGGGAATTCTGTGTAGTTTGCCTGCAGGCTACCAGGATTTCTTTAGTGGAATGAATTTACGTGAATCTGGAGACTCGTGTGAGGTCCAGATTTTTCAGGTGTGGGTACCAACTTGGACCCCCAGAGTTGGCACGGAAATTAAGTTAAAGACATTTGAGATTCAGCAGCTACAGAAAGAAGCCTTCTTGGGGCGGCCCTTATCGCGCTAAAAGCAGAACCTTCTGGGAGCGAGGGCGCCACAGATCCTTTCTCCTGGGGAGCTTTACGGCCATGAGGGAAAAAAGAGAGGGAAGACCACGTGTATCTGCATAAACAAACATTATCACAGACTTCCTGGGCTCCCATTTGTTCGCCTAGGAGCCCACCACCCATTTGCTCAAGTTAGCCCCCAACTCTAGCCATTTAGGGAACCAGCGCTTGTGAGCCACCATATGCATATAAATAGACTTTTTTTTTTCTGCCTGTTAATCTGTCAGTTAAATTTGCAGGCCCCCCCCCCGGCACTGAAAAGGTGGAGGAAACCGGCCCCCCCATACTTTACCTGGTGGCCTTGAAATAGTTCTCCCCTGGCCCCCCTTGTCTCTGTCTCCTCAGTTATAGCAGCAACAGCTCATCTCTGTGCTCCTGCAGGTCTCTGTTCTCTGTACGTGAACGTCTTTCTCTGTAGGCTTTTTAAGTTCAGGTATGACTTTGGGGATTGCTTATAAAAACTTCGGTTTGTGTAGGACCAAGGCACTAAGTACCCTGCCTCAGAAATCCCGAGGTGTCCATTACGTGGGAGCGGTGAGGAATTAATTCCCTTTGGGGGCTGTGTCTTACAGGTCTTGGATTGGCACCGCCTGATCCCCCTCACCTGGTCCCTTATTGCTAGGCAGACTACTCGGCTTGGAGAACAGAAGAGGACGACTGCTTTTTTGCTGCGTAGACTGACAACGGTCTCCAGCAGTGGGGGCCTCGGGGAGTCATCCTCTGTTGAACCCCAGAAGTATGCGCAAGAACCAGAGCACAGGACGGGGATGACTCAGTGCCTCCTCGAGAAGCAGAGGGCGGCTGTGGAGCGAGAGAAGGTTGTCAGTTCCCTCCTGGACATGGGTTTCAGTGATGTCCATGTTAACGAACTGCTCAGTATACAGCCAGGCACCCACCCTCAGCAGCTGCTGGGTATCATTTCAGAATTAATACTCCTGGGTCTGAATCCAGAGCCTGTGTGTGTGGCCTTAAAGAAAGGCCCTCAGTTACTGAGACTGCCTGTCGTGCACATGAAGATGCGCTCCCGTCACCTGCGGAAGCTGGGCCTTGGGGAAGGTATGAGGAGGGGGTTCTATACAGAGAGCAGAGGAGGTGGGGACGAATAGCCTGGCGAGGTGGATTCGGGGAGGTTTCTGGGGGAAAGGCCCTTGAGAGGAACGTGTGGTTTGGCTTGGAGGTGAGGGAGCAGAACGAGCTCCGCAGAGGGCATTGCAGGAGAGAGCGGGGACTGAGTGACCGACCAAGGCTCGTGTCTGGCGTGCTCACTGTAGGGGCTCTGGCATCTAGAACGGCGCTGGGCACGTGGTGTTGGTTTATGTGCAGGTATGTTGCCCTTTGATGCTCAAGCTGACTTGGGGTGGGCTTAGTGCTTGTGTCTGTGTGATGGGAAGCCAGAGAGACAAAGTTCCCTGTAGAGGCTTGGATTCCAGTCAGGTGTTTCGATTTACTGTGGAATGTGAGATCTGCCCAGATTCCTGGGACACTGGTGGAGTGAAGGCAAAAAGAGCCACCATCCCTACCCCCACAGGATTTGCACCCTGGGAGCCCTAGAAGTTCACTGGGTCTCTTTACAGGCCTTCTGGGGTTGGGGGGGGGTGGCGTGAGCAACTCCTAGGACCCCTGCCCACTTTGACCAGAGGAATGCCACTCTTTTGTTTATTCTTGCCTCTTGCTGGTAAAATATTGTTGGGGTTGGGGAGGGGGAGAAAAGGTTTGGGAATTCAGATTTCAGAGGATCTTTACGGCCTCCTTCTCTAGAAAATGAGCAAAAGATAGTGGTGTGGGGCTTCCCTGGTGGCGCGGTGGTTGAGCGTCCGCCTGCCGATGCAGGGGACGCGGGTTCGTGCCCCGGTCCGGGAGGATCCCACGTGCTGCGGAGCGGCTGGGCCCGTGAGCCATGGCCGCTGAGCCTGCGCGTCCGGAGCCTGTACTCCACAACGGGAGAGGCCGCAACAGTGAGAGGCTCGCGTACTGCAAAAAAACAAAACAAAACAAACCAAACAAACAAACCAAACAAACAGACAAAAAGATAGTGGTGTGTGTTTCTCTTAACAGATTACCTATCGCAGTATAATCTAAAAAGCTAAACTTAGCACCTTACGTGCAGCGGTTATATCAATAAATTAACAAGCTCAGCGTGACCTTTAGCTGCAAAGATGAAGACTAAATTCCTGAAATTCATTCCTGACACGTTTTATCAAGACACTGACTGACTTACCTGTTAGAAAAATGTTAATTAACAGTTTAAATAAGTGGTTCTAAGTTTCTAGGTACTAAATTTTACTCAGTTACCTGTAGGAAGACCATATGCCCTAATTTGCCTGGGAGAGTCTCAGTTTATACCAGTTATCCTAATGCAGTTACTAATAGGGACTGTCACTCAGAAGCACCTTAGTGTGGATAAAATATATGGTCACCCACTAACCAGGAGATCATCAGTCTCTGTGGTTGTGCATCATGATTCTTGTGGTTATTATTACATTAATTATTATTGTGGAACGCCTTTTCATTGAGTTCAGGCTCCTAGGTCTTAAGAATGTTGGTTGTGAATATTTCAAGGACTACTTTATCATAGAAGGAAACATGAACCCAAAGCCCTGACATGGGGGAAGCTACTATCCCATCTTACTGTCTGAGCTTTCCAGTAAATCCCTGTGAAAGTCTTTTCTAGGTGAGAAGGGCAAGAGGAGACCTAGAATATGAAGTAGGTGCCTTTCAGCTGTGAGGCCAGAAAGAGGCCTCTTGATACCAGGAGGGAGGGTTGGCGAGTCTGAGAAGTGAGAGGGAGTCAGTGGGGAGATGTGTCATTCTGGCCCATCCCATTTGCACGATGTTTCTGGGAAGGCGTATCTGAAGCTGTGGCACTCCTGTGGAGGAGAGGGTCCTTGTTTGTTTTTTAAATGCTGGCTTGTATTGGGTGTGGTTGGCCACTTGGGCTTCTGGAATATCCTAAAATTATGTACTAGCTCTTTTTTACATTCTTCAGGGAAATTAAAGCGGGTGCTTTACTGTTGCCCTGAAATTTTCACCATGCGTCAGCGGGACATTGAGAGCATCGTCGGGGTTCTCAAGAAGTGCCTTTTCACGGTAAAGCAAGTCACCGAGATTTTGCACAGATGCCCCTACGTTCTTCGGGAGGACCCTGGTGAACTGGAATACAAATTCCAGGTGAGAATGCCTGATGGCGTGATAAGTAACAGCAAGTTTTCGAGTGTAGTCAGGGTTAGCTGACTCGCTGGGGTGAGTGGATGAGGTGAAAGGCTTAGACCCTCTTTGCTTGCACCAGCCAAAGAGAGTTCGGTTTTGGTTCTTTCAATTCTTTACTACAGGTAAAAAAAACCTCTTTTGCAACTTTTCTGCCATTAATAATGGATGACCCAGGCCTATTCTTAGAATCCTAATGAGGCCTCTACTTAGAATACTTAATTTAAAAATAGCTAGAACCTTCCTTTCTTTAGAACCTATTTTGCGTGTTGATTTTAGAAACATAATTGTGAAGGGTGTCCTAATTTTTTGGTAACAATTATGATGGCTTAGGTCAAATCCTAGATGTTTTCTGAAATTTTTGCCTATTTTTTCCATACTCATAGTTTTCCTTACCCCATGAAGAAAAATAGAACTTAATTTCTCCCTCCTGCCCTTTATTTTCTGCTGCATTTTTCTCGATATGAATTTGAAAATGCTTTGAAAGCCATCACGCAGGTGTCGGGATCATAGTGTTCTGCCATCGCTAGTGAGGCAGGTCTCTCCGAGTGCTTTTGGATAGTTCAGTTCACTGTGCCTTAGGAGCCTACAAAGTTTTCTGCAGCTGCGCTTCCTAACCACGCTGTGTCTCCAGTATGCCTATTTCAGGATGGGGATTAAACACGTGGACGTGGTGAAGACCAACTTCCTACAGTACTCCATGACCAAGACCAAGGAGAGGCATGTGTTCCTGGAGCGCCTGGGCCGGTACCAGACCCCCGACAAGAAGGGGCAGACGCTGGTCCCCAACCCTTTACTCAAGGACATCCTCAGGGTTTCAGAAGCTGAGTTTCTGGCCAAGACAGCCTGTTCTTCTGCTGAGGAGTTTGGGGTTTTTAAGGAACTCTTGGCCCGGGAGGAGGAGGAGGAGTCTGAGGGCCGAATGGCTGATGCCGGAAGCCCGGAGGAGGCGGGGCCGTGATGGACGGACTGGAGTGCAGAGAAGCCCAGATGGATCGGAGGGTACTGTAGGCTTTTGGGAACTTCACTTGGATCTTCTCAGGTTATTTTTCATTCTCAAACTGGTCTTTTGATGAAAAATTAATTGGAAATCACCTGAGAAGTAGACTAAGAAGCAGATGCATTGGTTTGATCTGCTGCCAGGTTCTGGGGGGAGGGCCCAGTTCCATCCTGAGTAAAAGGCTGACTTTGAGCCTCTAAAATCGGCGGGCGGGGCGGGGGGGGCTCGACACATTGACATTTGGTCTTACTTTTTCTCTCCCATCTGTGTTGGTGACAGTCCCGTGACAGTGGGGGATGTTTCTTCTAGTTCAGGAGTCATTTTACATCCTTCTCGTGACAAAGAGTTCTGAGAAGACAGCGAGCTTTTAGTATATCACAGCACTTTATTTTATGAAAACAAGGAGCAGGTTTTCCACAAAAATACTCAGGTTTTTAGTTCAAAAATAGCTTATGGTTTCGTAATTGCAGTCATTGTACAGCAGAGTGAAAGGAAGTTGATTAGTGATGTGTGGTTTTGTTCTGCACAGCTCCTTAATGCCAGCAACGTGGGGGGTCGCTTTTTGCATCTTTGTGAAGAGCAGGCCCAGACTCTGACCGCCGGCGGAGTTTGCTTTCACGCCAGCTCAGGCCCAGGGGTTGCGTCCAGGCCTGACATCTCTGGCGTCCTTGGAGTTCTGACCTGGAGCCAGGGCCACAGGTCTGGGCTTGGTTTCATTTCAGGGAGCTCTCCGGGACACCAGAGGTGGTGGAAGGCCCCTTGGGGAGGCTGGTGGGTCTGAGGATGACTTGAAGAGTTGGGGTTGGGGAGAGGACTTGGGTGTAAGCCAGGGGTCGTCTCTGAGGCAGGGTACAGCCCTGATGGCGTGAGCTCTGTGAGGGGTGGGAGGATGGGTGATTCCTAGAAGGTTTGGATGTAAGCCAGGGGCCGTCTCTGAGGCAGAGTACAGCCCTGATGGCGTGAGCTCTGCGAGGGGTGGGAGGATGGGTGATTCCTAGAAGCTTCTGGAGATTCCTTTCTTGGGGGGAGCTGGCACAGGATTGATGCTGCAGAAGACATTTTTGGTGATGTACCCAAAACTCAGGTCTTTACAGCATTTTAACAGCTACACACGAGACTCCTGGTGCTTGGCCTCGCTTTTCTCGCAGAGACCACGGAAGTCCTGTCAGGTGGCGGTTCTCACCTGGGGGTGATCTTGACACCAGGGAACACCTAGCAACATCTGGGGACATTTCCCTTCTGGTTGTTAGGACCAGGAGGGTGTGCAGTTGGGGTCCAGTGGGGTCTAGTGGGTCGAGGCCAGGGCTGCTGCTAAACATCCTGCAGTCACAGGACAGGCCCACGACAGGGTGAGGCAGCCCAAAGATGAGCAGTGCCAAGGCTCAGACACTGCTCTAAGGCCTCGTTTAGCAAAACGTGACTGTGTTGATTCGTGAGGACTTAAGGTTTTAGATGGGCTTACATTTGTTTCTCTTTTATTTAAAAGTAAAGTAAATAGCTGATTTTTAAAGAGAGTTCCTTTCTCCTCTGTACTGGGATTCTCTTGGTAGATTTGAGCTGTGTTTTATTGTGGGTAGATTTGAGCTGCATTTACTGAGGTGTAGATGCTTTTGCTTTCTCCAGGCTCATATTCGAGCATGACTGCAAAGAGAAAGACATTTTTTTTTGCAAAAGAACAGTAGCTCAGTGAGTCCCTCCACACGTGAGTCCGACATCGGTGGCAGTTGTTGACCAGTGGCAGGAGTTCCAGCCCAGGGAAGGTGCTGGAGGTTGGCTGACACCGGGTGGAGCCCTTGCCTGTTGGTGTGGCTGGTGGGTGAGCAGCAGGGTGCTGCGTAGCTTTCCTCATTTGTACCCGTGTCAGTCCTTGTGCAAGGGGAAAAGGGAGGTTTTGTCCTTACTGTCTTTGTTAGCCATGGGCAGAATGATTTGAAAGTAAAGAGATTTCATTTTTCATTTACTCTTGTGTTTTGTGGCCTCCGGGTGGCCGGCACCATCCCTGGAACCTAAGGTGTTGCTCTTGTGCCCCCCATTCGGGACTAACAGAATCTTAAATCTAAGCTCGATTACCTGGTTAGTTGATCCAAGTTTTGATTAGCACAAGGCTAACTCGGCAACTCAGGATTGCTCCTTTCATTTTGACACAGAAATGTGTATACCCCTGGCAATTTTTTGATTCCGTTTTTGCTAATTTTGGGGGGTGGACCTTGAGTATCTCCAAGGAAGACGTTAGAGTTTTAAGAAGGAGCCGTGTGGAAAAAAGCAGTGCCTCATTTGTAATGTTTCAAGGATGAATTATAATTCCTTTAGCATCAGGAAGTCTTTTACTAGATGTTTAACTTATAAAACATCAAAATGGGTTAATCGTAAGAAAACACAGTACCAAGCTCAGGATTCAGTAGACTGTTCCTTGTAGAAACAAGGGCTTCTAAGCTAAAGACTGGAACACGTTACATGTGCCTCATGGCTGAGGGGCTTGAGGTTACTATTAACATGGCAGTAGAGGGTTTCGTCTTCTTTCCAGTGATATCACTTGATCTTGCTGTTTGCTCGTGACGCCGTAGCTTACACAGATGCACAGTGACAGGTCCCAGTGCCACAGCACAGGTCAGCAGTACGTGTTTATGTATGTGGTTTTCTCTCGATTCTCCCAGTGTCAGAGCCCCTGGACTGCACTCAGCCGTCTTCTTCAGGTGGGCCTTGGAGACTGGGGACCTTCTGGAGTACCATAGAGACTTCTCGAAATGACTATTCCTCCTTGCTGAAAATGACAGAATGCATAATACACAGACATATGCACACAAAACTTTAATAAAAATAAAAAGCCTAAAATATAACTCTGTAAAAAAAACTTTTTTATAAAAGATGAAAGGAAGAGCCCCTTTCTGTGGCTGTGATGCTGACTCGGGGCAGAGTCAGTGGAAGATGCACGGGGGCTTGAATTCCAGTTTGGGTCAGCTGCTAAAATGTTCAACACACTAGAGGTGGGGTTGGCTTGTTTGGTTTTCAGCTCATTTGCAGGGAGAAGCGAGCGCTGCTTAGAAGCGTGCTAGAGAGCAGGGGTGGCAGGATGACGTGGCGATCTGTGTGTGAAGGAGGAGCGTGTGGAACACGGTGCTAACTACCTGAGAGCCCCACACGGCGTTACTTGAGTCCTGGACTAAGAGAAACCCTAACCAGCGTCGCATTCAGGCTTGTGGGAGGAGCCCTCGCTGTACTTGGTAGAGGTGCTGCCTTGGCTTTCCAAGTGGGGTTTGAAACCCTTGAGGTTTCCATGAAACCCTTGAGGTCTTTGGTGCCTTGGTGGGTACTTGTCATCCAGGGGAGAGGCCAAAGCCTATGACCTCAAAGACCAGGGGTTAACCCAGTGTGGCGCATGGGCCAACTCGGCCCTGCCTGTTTTTGTAAATAAAGTTTTATTGAAACCCAGCCACGCCTGGTCAGTCACACGTCTGTTGGCTGTATTTGTGCTACAATTGCAGAGCTGAGTCATTGCCACAGAGACCATAGTCCTCAAAGCCAGGAATACTGTCTGACCTTTACAGAAAAGGTCGTAGGTAAAAAGTGTCTAAACTCCATCTTAGTGTTATCATTTTCTCTCTCAAAGTCAGCTGGTCCATACGATGGAGCAGTAGCCTGAGAATGATGGGCATAAATAATCTGCTGGCGGAGGAGAGCCGGGTGAAGCGCTTCCAGTGTGGCCTCGTCTCTGCCCCTTCCTCCCAGCCCCACCGTCTCTGCTTTGGAAGCTGTTGAGAGCAGTTCCTCAATTTTGTCGCTAGCTCTCAAAGGGAGAATTCTTTCTCTGACTTCGGAATCTGAGAACTGGTTTCTGAAGGTTGCAAAAGCATTCCTGGTGGACAACCTTGCCATCCAGGGCTAACGTGTGCGCCGTGGGTGCGCATTCACCGTGGCGCAGACTGCTCCCTAGAAGACTGCAGTCTGGGCTACGTCAGATGTGGCTTCTGTCCCGGAGGTCTCCCTGGTTGTGGCTGGGCAAGGAGGTGGCTGGTGCTTGCCTGGCCTGGCCGTGTGTCTTCCAGAGGCCAGAGGAGAGAAGCCGCTCGGCACCGACTCCAGCCAGGACCTTGTTTTCAATCCAATTTTAGACCTCGTCTTCCTGGGCTTTAGAAACTCGTGAGGTTGATGGAGCATTAACAAGAGCATCCTGATCCTTAGAAGAGAAAACAGACCGGGGTGTGAGGAGGATGGTCGTGGTACCCATTCCTCTTTACAGCGGCGGCTCCCGGGTTGCTGCTTCACGTCAGAACTGTGAAGTTTGTTCCCTGTGACATGGCAGTGGGTGCTGGGGGCCGGCTCGTGGAGGACTGACTATACCCCCCAGTGGTGGGGGCATGTGGGCAGCACTGCAGCTTCAATTTGAAATCTGCAGGCTGCAACCCCCTTCGTTTGGTGCCGCCTTGGATCTTTTCTCTGAAGGCATGGGCTGTCCCTGGTCTCTCTCGACTGATATGAATTCTTGCACTTTGTTCTTGGGTGTGTGTGTGTGTGTGCGTGCGTGTGTGTGTGTGTGTGTGTGTGTGTGTGTGTGTGAATGTTTCCTGCTTATTTGTGTTTTCTCCATCGTCTTAAGAATGGGTATCCTAAAAGCCAGTATTTGATCATTTAACAGTTGAGGGTTTCTGATGTATTTTTATAGAAATGGATTCATTGAATGAGTTTAAATATATATTAGGCTTCCCTGGTGGCGCAGTGGTTGAGAGTCTGCCTGCTGATGCAGGGGACGTGGGTTTGTGCCCCAGTCCAGGAGGATCCCACATGCCGCGGAGCGGCTAGGCCCGTGAGCCATGGCCGCTGAGCCTGCGCGTCCAGAGCCTGTGCTCCTCAACGGAAGAGGCCACAGCAGTGAGAGGCCCACGTACCGCAAAAAAATATATATATATATGTATATACACACACACACACACACACACACACATATTTCAGGTGACTTATTGCAA